TATTTCTAATGGTAGATAATAATTCATGGCACATTTAATTAACGATATTTTTATTTCCCATTTTAAATAATTCATGACACATTTAAGTAATAATTTATCTTTATATTTCCCATCTTAAACAATTCATGGCACATTTAATTAATTAATTATTGGTGTATTTATTTATTTAATTTTGGCACTCTTAGCCCTCCATAGCCAGGTACTGATTACATGCAATGTTGATAAAACTAATAGGCTACTTAAATATATCACACTAAATAGTTAGACATTATGATCTTCCAGACCTTTGCTTCAAGAAATTTTCTCAAACTGGACCTCTTTAAATTTTAGTCGAATACCCCTGGTCTAGGTCTTATGGTTTTGTCTGCCCATTTCATTTTAGGGAAGAAAAATAATGAGAACAAAAACAATAGTGTCCAATGCACTACGTGCATAGTTATTATTACATTGTGCCCATATTATATGCCATTGGGAGCCATGCATGAATGGATTAATAGCTCTATGTGCACTTGTGTATTGATTATCATTAATTTCAACCCAAATGACATTTTATCACAAGGAAATTTGTTGGTGATTATGGGAAAATGCCTGTCAAATTTGGCTTAAAAAACATGGATTTCAAAGTGTCTTTTCTTGAAAATGGTATGGTAAAAGTTCACCAAATTTTGTCTGGAAATAGTCTTGGACCTTACCTTTCAGAAGGAATAAGAGCTGTTTATGCATTAGGGGAAATAAAGAAATTCATTGTATAGAAATACATCCTGTTGTTCATAAATATGACCATAAATCACCCTTTTCTTTTCCTATGCGGTATCGCTTAGGCTAAGCTTTAGAGTATTATTTTTTGTTAAATTATATGTCCTCATCTGTCACAATGTTTTTACATTGTTTATTATTTTTTGTTGAACTGTACGATGTAGCGTTCTAAAAATGACATGCACTTATATATATGTATATTTGGTTTTGCGATCACAATATTCCTGTGCAAGTCTATTGCATACAGTATACGCTCCTGTATTAAGTGATGTTGCTGTCTGAGTTGGCAGGATAAGGGAAAAATTGTATGCTACATTGTTGGTGGTGCTATGAGCAGTAGCAAGGCGGGGAAACAGAAATAAAGAGAAACTCTCGTTTCTGAATTGATCCTCTGCATGTCAGGGTTGCGGGGCAAGCGAGCCGGAAAGCAAGCGAGCGGAGCCGTGAAGACGGACAAAGCAGGGTTTAATGGTAGACGAAGGGTTGACAGGCTGACAGGGTTCGTGCACCATGCCTCGTTCCCGTGCCGCCCGGAACCATGACACTGCATGATATTTCTTCGGTATGGAAAACAGAACAGAAATCGTAACAATTTTCCTAAACGCCTCAATATCGTTACGCGGGACTTTTCCCAGAACCATAAATTGAACCAGCTATGGATTTTACTACGTTTTGTACGCTGTTGAAATATACGTTGGCTTGCATTTCTTGGACAAACTACGACCGCCGCGATGTTTGCAGATTATAGTGAAAGTGAAAGTAGGAGTAGAATGCATAGTTACAGCTAGGCAGGATGTTTTTCACTACGCAGTTAAATATTTGAAAGTAGGACTTAAATTTTTCGTCACGGAGAAGATGTTCAGAACAATTTCTTATTGCATTAATTCTTATTCCAGAGTTACCGTACGTCAGTTGATATAAAATTCTGTGTAATACCCTAATTTAAATATAAAAGGCATTTACACCTTGTCTTATAAGTTGGTTTAAAGTAAATGGTTAGTCAAATGTATTCTTGTATATTTATATCTGGTATATAACTATTAGATAAACTAGCTAGCATAATTATAATTGGGTTCCGGTATATAATGCATTTCGCCAACGTCAGTTTTATGAGATTTTCGGAGAACAGCAGTAGCTGCCAATTCCAGACAATTAAGACTTAAAAAAAATATATATATATATTGTTTAGCCGGACTTTTCACAAAACCGCCAAATGAACCGTTAGGGGCTTTTGTACTCTTACCATTTGTACGCAAATGAAATATACAGATATTTTTGGACAAACTCACCTTTTCCAAACGTTCTTCCACCACTGCAGACTGCTGTGAAAGTGAAAGTAGGAATTCAGAAGTATTTTATATAGCTACACAGATACCGGTATTCAAGGTAAATTATAAGGATGCTTGGGATTTAAAAGTTATTTCCTTGCTAGAATAAGTCATTATTTCAATACAGATATGGAAATCCTACTACACATCTACACGAGTTCGCTAAGAATGACGTGATTTGAGAACAGCGGGAATTTAACGTTCCACCCAAAAATGCCTTTAAAATAACCTAAAGGATTATTAGGAACACCATACTAATACGGTGTTTGACCCCCTTTCGCCTTCAGAACTGCCTTAATTCTACGTGGCATTGATTCAACA